CCAAGCACCACGGCACCAGCAGCAGGAGAGGGGACAGGAGCCCCCTTCCTCTGCCCGCACCTGCAGCCACCTGGCGCCCACGCCCCGCGGTCACTGCCCAGCCCGCGAGGCGAGCTCCCCCTACAGGGAGCCTGCCAAAGCTGCCGCAGTGCACCTGCGGGGGAGTTTGCGGTGCGAGGAGTAACTCGCAGCTATTCTTAGGGCAATTTCCAGGCATTGGAGGCCTTTGCAAGGACAGTGCGGTGTAGAGCCACCGCTGGCATCCAGTGTAAATGCTAGCTAGGCAATGGCCTGTCAGCTTATTTGAATGGAAAGTGATGTTTGTCTTGTACCTTGTAATTAACACCAGAAGCAGATGAATTCAGGTGTAATTTTCTCTTTGAGCGTGGGCATATAGGACAGTACAGGGATAGGTTCATCTTAGTTTATCTACCAATATGACATTTTAAATAATTTTAATATTCTCCATGAGTTTAAATACTTCCAGGTGGAGGAGACCAACTGTGCATCAATATTTATTCCATTCCTTTATTATGTGCCACATTTTTGTATCACAGAGAAAAATAGGCAAGTTGGAAGATCTTGTAGGAGAGCATTGGCCCATACTAAAGTCTATTCTATTTTTAAACCTGCATGTACATGGTGTTTGGTTTCTTTTATGACTTCCTAGAGCCATTCCAGCTAAACAGTATAAATGTTTGTGTGAAGTCAGAAGTGGTGTGTGTTCATGTTTATACACACTAGTGCCATACAAGAAAAGCTTTGTGTATTCAGTGCTTTTCAGCTTAATTGTGAGTATGGAACAGATTGTCTTGCCCTTAAATAACTTATTAACTATGGGCCAGATTATGATGCCCTTATACATCTTAACTAGTACTTTGCACCTTACATTCTGTTGATATCAGTGGGATGTACTTGTGAACAATCCTTTGCACCACTATAAATAAGAGCCACGCACTCTGGCCTTCAGGTGGTAAAATGAAGCACCAACTTTGCAGCAGAGGAAAAAGTAGCTTCTGTTGCTGAAGTACCTGAGCATTTCCAACTATTTATAGATTTATTCTTACCACACTATGGTGAGTTTGCAAAACATTTACAGAGGTATAGAAATGAATTAAATGATAGGAAATCTATGGTAGAACAGGGAAATAACA